GGGGGGGGAGCCCCAGCTTGGGGACCCCCCCACGTGGGTCTCCTGCCCCGCAGTCTCTGTGGGGTGGGGGCAGTTACCATGGCCCACGCAGCTCCCTGCCCCTTGCAGGCTGGTTGCCCCAGGCGGGGAGGTCCCGTACGGCTTAGGGGTCACTTTGGCAGGAGGGTGCCAGGGTGCTGCCCTCCTGGGTTACCCAATACTTACCATTTGAACACCCCAGTACGCCCAAAACACATTTGCAGTCTCCGTACAGCCCTTCCCACACATTCAAAGCAGTCCTGCACATTTCCACCCATCGTTCACAGTGCACAAAAGGTAACACACGGGATATTTTGGGGCCAAACATTTGACTGTAGTTTGTTGTTTGTTTTGTTTTTTTTTTTTTAAATCCAGAAACCAAGGCACTGCCTCTGGTTTCTTCCCACTCTCTCTTGTACCTCTTCGCCACTTGTCACATCCATTTCCACCGCCACCTCTCCCGGGTCCGGGCAAGGCAGCAGCAGTCAGTCTGATTGCGCCCAGCACCGTCTGCCCGGTCGGGAGCACGCTGCGTGGCTGGGAGCTGCTGGCTGGCGGGATGACGTGCCTTCCCCTCGCCTTGCAGATGCGATGAGGACTTGGGATGCTGTGTCTGAACGCATTCAGCGAACGCTCATGCTGAAGCAGGCAGCCTTTGTATCCTCCGCTCACAACTCGATGATTTCAGCAGACTTGAAACCCCTATGCTATTGTTTTTTTCCCTCCTTTAAAGGCAGCTAAAACATCCCCAAATTGCCTTGCAGCTAGCAAATGGGCCACAGACCAGATTCTCCATCCAGCTCTAGCAGAAAGAAGTCTTCAACACGTTTTGTGGCTTCTCTGTTCCCCGCAGCCAGAGTGGAAAGACCAGACCAACAGCTTGAAGCATTTTTCAGAGTTTATCCCAAATGATGGGAACCCCCAGTCTAGCTGAGGGATCTTGGCTCTGCTTTTCACCAAATACCTTTTAGAGGCTGAGGAGGAAGGAGAGGAAACACCTCAGCATACGGAGGTCTTCCCCAAAGCTTTCCAGCGCCTCTTCTTGCTCCTCTGTACATCAGGGCAGGGCACAAGGGACAAAGCACCACCACCATGCTCTAAAAAGTCATCTGTTGTTTCTACCAGCCACAAAACACTCATTATTTGCTCCTTCTTTTCTCCTTGGCCTTCAGACTATCAGAATACCTGGAACTGGGACATTCTCAATTGTTGACCAACAGACGTTGCGTCTTGGATTCGGTGGTGTCACTGCTGAGAGGTGGGTTTCTCGGCTACCTGAGACTTTGGCAGATGTTTCTGGGCTCATCTCTGCTCAAGCTGGCATTCTTGGTAAGAGGAGAGACGGAAACCTTTGCTTCCCCTTGCAGCACCTTTGGGGTGTATGCTCATTTCTGCATCACCAAGAGAGGAAGGGAAGCCCTTTGGAAGGTCCTGAGGGCATCACAAGAAGAAACCAGCCCCCGCATAGCTAGGTGTATAAAGCTAGAGTCTCTGTTTTGTCAACTGGATTTAAACCATTCATATTTATTCAGTGGTGTGGTGACTGTCGTCTGGTGACATGTCCTGGCACCGCTCCTTCTAAGCCAATTGAGACAAAAATTGATGCTCCGTAGTTCTGCTGCACCAGACCTTGTAAAGGCAAACACCAGAGTTCATGTTGGCTCCTACAACCTCGTTGTAGTTAAAACTGTTTTGGCAGCAGCCATAGACAGCCTTGAAAGAGAGAAGGGGTGGATGGTTTGTACGAAAGCCTGTGGACGGGCAGATTTTCCATGATTTCTAGTCAATACTACCATTCCTGCAACTGTGTTGCCCCAGGGTGCCAGGGGGACACCAAAAGCCCGGGTGCATGGATCTCAACGTCAGCCTGGTGGCCCTCTGCACCAAAAGCAGAGATGTCAAGTCAGCAGGAGGGGTGGTGGTGTGCAGGTATTTTGCTTCTTCATGACACCTATTTGAGCATAGCCTACCCAATGTGGCTTGGCTAAGTTTCTTCAAACCCTGGGTGTGTTGAGCGTGGACAGTTTCAGAGTGGCCCAGCACCACCCACCCATGCTGTCTGCTTGGCCCCCTCACAGCAGAGGACTCCCTGACCCAGACCCCAGCACACACCCCCTGCCTGTGGTGGGCACATGAGAATGGGACAGGGACAGGAGATAGATGGGTGTAATTATGGTGTGGTCTTGAATTGCAGAAGAGCCCGCCTATACGGCTGTCTGTTCTGGGAAGCTCCATGAGATGTGTTCACTGGCACGTTACGCTATTTCTGGACTTTCCTTTAAAAAACACAAGTTGTGCTGTATTTTGGCAATATAATCCCCATACCTGTAGCCACAAAAAACCCACCAAGAACATTTGGTGTGACCTGCCAGTCTGCTGCGAGGCTTGGCAGAAACAGCCATTCCTTCCCCGCAATGATGATGTCACAAGTGATGTCAGCATGAAGTACAGGGACCAAGTAGAAATGACAGTGAAAGCTTGGTCTGATGCTGATGTCCCCCTTGGATGAGGTGCCACTCTCCTGGGTCTCCAGCTGGGTCTCCAGGTCCCTGGCAGAAGCCCTCAGTGTTGGCTGTACTTGGGGAAACAGCACCATCTATTTGCAGCATTGTTTTACGAGTGCCTTTGTAAAGAAGACACGGTGGCCTCCATGGTGGGGTGTCTGTGACCCATCAGCAGGGCTGGGGATCCCATCCTGGAGCCAAAGGCTTGGTGTAGCATCCTCTGCTGTCCTAGGTCACCTTGGGTTAGACCTTATCTCCAGGCACCTCCCTGCAGCCCAAAGGTAATGCCTGACGTTTGCTCTGAGTTTAGAGTTACGAGCATGAGTTGCGCAACGCGTGTGCAGGGATGAGGCACGGAGGGTCCACAGGCAGGTCAGAGAGCCCCATGCTAGGGGCTTCATCTCAAATTTGACTCTCCCTTTCCAAGGCAGGGTCTGACCTTCTGCTCCCACACACGGACACGAAGACACCCACCCTGAGGTCCGAACACCCGTACAGGTCTCAGCCCCCGCCCCACATTTCCCCATAGCTGCCTCGGACAGACGCCAGCCCGCTGGGGTCCCAGAGCTGTCTGGGGGGGCAGAGGTCCCAGGAAGGTGTTGGTCCACAGGACCAAGGGGGAGAAAGCCAGCCTGCCCCCAGCTTTGCTCTGGCCAGGAAAGCTGTCCCCACCCTAGCCCATCCCCACCTCTGCAGGGAGAGCAGCTGAGCGAGGGGCAGAGGATGGGGCTGCCTCCAGACCCAGCTCAGCACCCCTCAGGGTTTGACCCCCACGCGTTCTGGGTGACAGAAGTGACCAGGGACCTCCCGTTCCAGCTTTACCACAGGCTTGGGAGGAATGAAAAAGATCTGCTCTATTAAACCTGCCGGAAAAAGGGTCCAATGGGTGGTCTGAGGCATCCAAAGCATATTGGGTGGTCTGGGACATCCAAAGCTCTCGTGGAGCTCTCGCTACTTCTTCTTGCCACTTTTCTTCTTGCTTTCGATCAGGTGCAGCCCCTGCTTCTTGATTTCTTCCCGGGTGAGGACAAGGCCATGGTCTTTGTCAGCAAAATCAAAGGGGTCTGGAGGACAGAGTGGAGAGGAGTGGGCTGGGGAGGGTCTGCAGGGCCATCTCCGCCGTGCCCGTGTCCCCAGGGACAGTTGGCGTGTTTTGGAGGGCTGGTGGCATCCCAGAGAGCCCTCGTGCCGAGTCCTCGGACACAGGCTTTTCCACCCCAGGGTCCCAGGGTGACCTGCAGGACCTGGTGATGCCACCGCTGTGGCCCATTTCCAGCAGCCCCTGCTGCTGGGGCTTCCCATAAAGGTCTGGAACTCCGGGGTGGTGGGTACAGCTCCCGCTTTGTTAAAAAAAGGTGGTAAGCTGCCAAAAGCTCATTGTCTCCTCCAAGAACATCCAATAGCAGGAAGCCACAGGCAGAGCCAAGCACTGGTTATTCTTCACAACCAGGTGACTTTGAAGACGAGGGTCTCCCTCCTTGCCCCAGAGCATCTCTCCTTGTTCCTGCTGTGGTTCGATGGTGGGGCTCACCACCCCACCAGCTGCCTTCGTTCTCCCACATCCCCACCTAAAACCACCGCCCATGCTCAAAGCCTTGGAGACAGCCAAGGTCAGCCCCAAGGTCTGGAGGCAACTCCTGCATTTGGGGTCTGCTGGGACAGTGGGAGACAGGCAAGGATGCCCAGAAATCCCAGCGGGCAGGGGCTAGGACAGTCGCTGTGGGACGTGTCCCCGCTGTGCTCTCCTACCTTGGACCCTACTGCCTATGTCCTCCAAGGAAATCTTCAGGTTCTGCGGATCATTTGCAGTTGTTTTCTCCAGAACATTTCTGACCTTCACAAAAGTCTGTGAAAGACACCCTGGATTAATTGCTGAAGGGGAGGTGGGCGTTACAACCCAAGGGACGCCCACCTCGATGTCCCCCGGGGGGGGACACCCCACAGTGCCCAGTGCCACCAGGGGCTGAGCTATTCCATGGCTCTTCCCAGGGGCCACCTCCATCCTCCCAGCTGGGAGGATGGCTTGGGATGGGCCATCTGGGAGAGCCCTGTGTGGGTCCCCAAAGACCACAGCAGGGATGGAGCCCCCACGCACCTCGTCGTCCTCGTCGGGGCTGTGCCCGTCGGGGGGCAGGTCGGCCACCTCCTCCAGCAGGTGCTGCAGCTTCTGCTCACAGTGCTGGAGCTTCTCCTCCACCCCCCTGGCCTTGACAGAATCATCCTGGAGTCAGAGAAAGAACAACCTTGGTGGGGAAAACGAGTCACTTGGGGTGACCGTGGCTGCACCAAGTGTCACCGCGCTGTGCCGTTGCACCACCAAGCACCAGCCGGGGCCGTGCTCACCCCAGTGCCGCGCAAGTACCTGGCCGGGCACGGTGATGCCATGCAGACGGACAAAGAGGTTGTCGATGCCATTTTCAAACTCGAGCAGGAGCTCCTGGCTCCTCAGCATCTGGGCTCGCATCTGCTCCAGCCGAGTCTCTTCGCACTGCAGGTTCATCCTCAGCTCCTCCTCCAGCATCCTAGAGCCAACCACATTCGCATCCGTACGACTGCGTAGGGGTGCAGAGACAGCCCAAATCTGTTGCAAAAGCGGCTCATGTTGCCCCCCCTCCCCAACTGCAGGGCAGAGATGCTGTTTGCAACCCAACTCCATGCTGCTGGTACCACTTCCCACACCAGGCATGGAGCAAGGGTCCTCCTGTTGCCACAGCAGGAGCTTCGGGTGCTCTGCCAGGACCAGAGCTGGGCGAGCACCTGCTCAGAAAACCTCCCGGTGCAGGAGGGGTGGGCGGCTGCAGTGGGACAGAGGAAGTGGTGCCCTGTTGGGACACCCATGATGCACATGTCCCCCTCCAAGGGTGGTGGCCCGGTTGGCATGACTGTCCCGAGGCCAGCAGCACCTGGTTGTGTTGGGGGGCTGGCAAAACTTCAGCTCAGCCTCCTTCAGCTCCAGCTCCTTCAGCGTCTCCTTCAGCGCCTGCTTCTTCTCCTTGCACTCCTTGACGTACTGCTCCAGGTCCACCGAGGACTTCTGCTGTGCCAGGAGCCTGCCGGGGATGTCCTGGCCAGGGGAGAAGACAAGGACTCAGCCCATGGCCTCCTGCAGGGCACAGGATCCGGGCCATGGTCTCAGGGAGGTTTCTGCACCATGGACCGCTGCAAGCTCATGTCATGGAGAAAAGCAGCTCCATCCCTGCCTGCACAAGAGGGGCTTTGGGGGGCTCCAGGGGCAGAGGAGAGCAGATAACCCCGCAATGAAAGAAGGCGAGTAGAGAGGTCTCAGCTCCCTGGGGCTCGAGCAGCCTTGGGTTTTACCGGAGATGGGTTTTGATGTTACCCAGAGGCGGGAGCACTGCACAGCTGCCTTGGCCTTCTCCATCTTCTCAGTCACCCGGGCCTCGCACTCCATCTGGGTCTTGGCGGCCTCCAGTTTGGTGCCTGGGGTGGGAGGGAAGCGGCAGGGAAGGACGCCCGTGGCTGCTCTGATGTCCCACCCCCCTGCACCCCAACAGGCACTCACCCACCAGTGGGTCCTGCGGGTGCAGAGTCGGGAAGTCCACGGCGAGATCATACCTGGCTTGCTGCAAGGACGTTCATCGTCACCTCCTGAACTGCTGGCACCCATGGGGGGCTCGGCACTGATGCATGCCATCTGCCCGCAGCCCTGCCCGCGCCAGGTCCGCCCAGCTCACCGCTCTCAGGTGCCTTTCGCTTGCTTCCTTGAACCAGAGCCTGTCGATGTGCACCTTCTGGGCGGCCAGGGAGCGGTACCTGAACTCTCTCTCTGCAAGGAACCAGGTTTCCATCTCAGCCATGTCCTCCTGGAGCATATCAGAGAAGGGAAATGCGGCTGCCAAAGCCAGAATGGACCTTTGTGAGCCAGCTGAGCTTCTGGGATGGCCAGCATCAAAAATGACACCCCCCTGCTGTGTAAACAGGCTGGGAAAGAAACTAGGCAAGGAGGGCTGGAGGATGGAGCATGCTGCCTCCACCATGGCTGGTGCTTCGGGCAGGCTGTCCCCAGCCCCAGGGCAGCCTGGCCCGAGAGCAAGATGCGGGAGGAGCTATGGAGGCATCTGGGTGCTGTGGGCAAGCCCAGCTCAGTCTCTTGCTCTTTATTGCAGGAAGACTCACCAGCCCGGGCGCGTGGTGCCGACTGTGGGCTCTGGAGGGTGGGAGAGGGCCCCAAGGTGCCCCGGACCATCTTACCTTGGTTACATCAGCGGCTTTGAGGGCATCCAAGGCCATGATCTCCATGTCTTCCAGCTCCCCGTGGTACAGCTTGGTCATCCCGCACAGGAGGTCCAGGTGCAGAGGCAGGTGGACCAGCTCCTGGGACACAGGGAGCCACAGTGCATCACCCAGGGGTCCCCTGCGCGCTGTGACAGGGGATGGAGGGGGGCAGGAGGACCTCGCCAAGCCGGGAGGGCATCCCACTAGCACAGCCCCTCGTTGCCTTTGCAGGGGGAGCGGGTGGGACGATGGCACAGTGAGGAGGAGCTCACCTTCCTCAGGACATCCCGCACCGCCAGGTACAGAGTGGTCACGTTCTGTCCAGCGTGGACTTTTGTGAGCATCTTCTCAATGTTGTTCTCCAGCTGGC